GGAAGGCTAATTGGATTGGACATGTTTTACGCAGAAACTGCCTTCTAAAAGAAGTTATTGAAGGAAAGATAGAGGGGCGGATAGAAGTGACAAGAAGACGAGGAAGAAGACGTAAGAAGATGCTGGATGAGCTTGGGGACAGAAGAGGATACTGTCATTTGAAGGAGAAAGCTCTAGATCGCATTAAGTGGAGGAATTGTTTTGGAAGAGACTGTGGACCTGTTGTCTGACAGATTACTGATGATGATGATAATGACCAGTTTATTTATTCACGTGATGTTTCAAATTGTTTATCTCCATAGGTGATACCTATAACCTCCTACCCTTTCAGTGTCACTTGGAACTACAGCAACAGCAGAATTATCGTAAAGGACTGTGAAGTACGAGAAATGTCAGTGTATGCCTAATCATTGCTATCACCACACAGGAGACTATCAGTGACATTTGTGCTGTCATCAGTATCATGATCACTTTAGAATCACTTGCAGAAGTGACCACCTGGTAGAGGCCTTCTTTTATATCTCACTTTGGTGTTAATTATATCATTACATCTGTTGTTACGTTTTTATTAAATCATAATTTTGAATATAGTAAATTTTGTAAAGTAAGTTCCTTCATTTTGCTGATTGATAATATTGAAGTTAAAATGCATACTTTTTTTTATTTTCAAATTTGAATTTGCTTCTGAAAATATAATATGCTGGTAATAATTTTTTTCTTTTATGCTGAGTAATTATGTTTATGCGCAGGTATGATGCCAAGCAGGTGATGCGAGGAGTTAAGCGTACCAATACATTGTATGGAGCATTGCATCTACAGGCAACTCGTGTTGTCTTTATACATGGCTCAGTTGATCCCTGGCATGCTCTGGGAATTACACGGACTGTGAAACAAGAGTCACCAGCCATCTATATCAGAGGTGCATTGCGTCCATTTACTTCTGCACTTCCAGTTATAGTAATAGCCTTGTCAAACATGAGGATTACTTTCATGGAAGATTAAAGCTCTTGTTTGATGAACTAGATACCGTATGACATGGTGTTTTAATCTGTGGGTCACGACCTGTCAGTGATGTAAACTATCATGGGTGGGTGGCAGGGGAGGGTGTTACTGAGTTCTCATGAATTATTTAAAATATAGTTGTAACCGCGCACAGTTTTTAGAAGTCAGATATAATGTAGGTTCTGTCAGGGGATTTAATATTAGGTGCTTTCAAAACATCTAGCTGCTGTGGGTGAATCATTTGACGAGTATTTTTGTGGCTGGTCAGATATATTAGTAGCTTATTGTAGATGCAGAGATGTTGTAGAGCTGTTTTGGTTCCTGCTGTCCCCATACAACCTAACGAGACCTGCAACAATGTGCAGTACTGTACTTTTCATTGACTGAAAAAAGAAATGGTGGGAATTGTGTAAATCTCTGTTATTATTTGAGGTCATGATATTACAAAGTTTGAGAATTTTAGTTGGTAGCACATTTAACGAAAGGTAGTACCATTGTGTATTGGGGTTGTTCATATGAGAGAGAGCAGTTGGTGTGTTTCTGCCCTGAAGAAAGTTCTGAAGGGCTGTAGACTTGGGTTGGATGAACTAGTCAGTCATTGTCGTGCAGTGGCTGCTGCAGCAGCACATGGAGTCCTCCCCCAAAGGAGCTGTATCAGCTGGTGCATCAGTAGGTTGCCTGTAACTGTGGGGTATATTTGTAATGACCTCTGCTCCAGCACTCACAATAATCCATGAATAAGTTTCATTTCAAGAATCCTCATAAATTCACACACACTTGGCTGATGTGTACAGTGCCTGATTGTGGACTCACATGTGTTTACCATTGCATAGTTTTCACTCTTTCAAACTTGTCTCTTTTCATTCGAGGAAACAAAAAAAAAAAGTCGCACGGGGCAAGGTCGGGTGAGTATGGAGGGTGAGGAACAGGGGTCATACCATTTTTGGTCAAGAATTGTCATACAGACAGGGCTGTGTGAGCAGGGGCATTGTCATGATGGAAAAACCAGTCACCTGACTGCCACAAATCTGGCCGCTTCCACCGCAAACTGTTGCGCAATCTTTTCAAAACTTCCAAGTAGAAAGCCTGGTTAACTGTCTGACCCTGCGGAACAAACTCTGAATGGACGACTCCTCTCATATTGAAAAAACAAATCAGCATTGTTTTCATGTTTGATTTCACCTGACGAGCTTTCTTGGGGCGAGGTGAACTTGAAGTGTTCCACTGGCTTGATTGTTGCTTTGATTCAGGATCGTAAGCATAGCACCAGGTTTCGTCACCGGTGATAATATTTTAAAAAAAGTTTTGATCATTTCGGGACTCTTCTTTCAAAGCACAGCATGTGACCTTGTTTTTGTTCAGCAGTCAGCAGTCGTGGCACGAATTTCGCAGCCACCCTTTTCATTCCCAAATCTTCTGTCAAAATTTGCTGAACTGAGCTCCAAGTCACTCCCAACAGCTCCACAATTTCTTCAATGGTCCGTCGTCGATCTTCTTGATGATTTCACGAATTTTTTCAACATTTTCATGTGTTCAGGCCATGGAAGGACGACCAGAACGAGGTTTGTCATCAATTGACATTTCACCATTTTTGAAACGGGAAAACCACTCAAACACTTGAGTTTTCCCCATAGCATCGTCCTTGTACGCCCTTTTTAACATTTGAAGAATTTCTGTTCCACTTTTCCCGAGCAAAAAGCAGAATTTCACCGCTGCATGCTGTTCACGAAAACAGCCATTGCAAAAACGACGATCACACAAAACGGTTGTCACTATAAACTCCGCCGAAACTAGTCCTTACCTTCTGAAGCAACGGTAGTCGGCTTATCGACTCAGGAATGTTAGCTCTATGCGCTCATAGTGGCAAAACGCGGTACTACAAAAGCTCTGCCCACAAAAAAATTAGTTCGGTTTCTTTTGGGTACCCCATCGTATATTGAATGTAAACAGAATCGGTGAGATGATGCATCGCATACATGGGAAAATATATTTATGTCCTCATGTAAATTAGGCTATATTGTGGGTCAATACGTCTGAAAATCGGAATTGTTCAATGACGTTTGATGAAAACCTCCCATGTCAGATTTCAACAAACTCTGTGAAATGGTTTATGGGATACATGGAAACGTCCATTTGTGGTCTTATGCATAATAAGCTTTATTCTGGATCAGTGAGATTGAAACTCAGAACTGCATAACAGCATTTAGTAAACATCTCCCATATAAAATTTAAAGAAAATCTGTCTTAACAGTTTAGTCCCTGATTCTAGGTCATAGATTGGTTGATAGATGTGACCTACACATAAAGTGCTCTTTATTTTATAAAAGACTAAAGCTGATTTTTTCTTCAGCTGTGCACCTCTTCCTCCAAGATTCTTGTAACTACCTATAGTTATAGAAGATCGAGACAACAGTCTGCGCTCTGGTAAAATTTTGGCTAATGTTGTAATGTTGTTATGTTGTAATACTATGGAGCTAATTGTATTTGTTATGTTTTTAGGCACAGCGCACTGTGCGGACATGTACCCCAGCTCACCATCAGATCCTCCGCAGCTTGTGGCTGCTAGGCGGAGGATCAGTGACCTCATTGGACAGTGGTTAGATGAAGACTAGGTTGGTTTAACATGACAAAATTTTTGTTGTTGTTCTTGTTATTTACAAATGTATGTTTTGAACAAATGGAAAATAAAGGAATTTGATTCTCTAAAGGTTTGTGGCAATGGTTGACTCATTATGTTAACATATTTATTATTATAGGTCTAGTGCCTCAATGGTTGGTATTGTCATATATTGTCATATATTGTCGTATAAGGGGTTAGTGTGACTAATGATAATGGGTTCTAGATTTGATGACTCAGTTTATTGGCAGTTCGTTACAATTACAGTCAATTATAACAGCTCACACATTGAACGACATCTGTCTTGTGAATCTCTTATGAATCTCTCACTAATCATGGACTGATCTCTCCTACTCTTTGGATTCATGAATGCATCATCTTTTATTACTGCCACATGATAGAAGTCACCATTTCCAAATGTTCCACTACTGCTTTTTTATGACTGCAGAAACATGTATGAATGGTTGCCTAGAAAAACAGATAATTCAGTGTCTGACTCCACTATTCCAGCTTTTAGGCAGTCTTTACTGAGCGTTGCCCAGCAATGGACTTTTCCAGCTTGTCCTGGAAACATGTTTTAACAAGCTGTTTTCTAGCAATGGATTATTCCGTCAAAGTATTGACCTGGTCCTGGGTCTGGTCAAGTGGCATTTGTGGTGGACAAAGTGGCGCTGGGGCAGGTTTTCTCCAAGTACTTCAGTTTCCCCTTCCAATCTTCATTCCACCAATTGCTCCACAATCACCCTCACCTATCATCTGGGGCTGGTACAATAGGCCAAAAGTGGCCACAGTACAAGTGACTTAGTCCCACCCCACTAGCAATAAATAAAAATACTATTAATGTTTATAACCTTACATCTTAGAAATGCAAAATTAAATCATGTCTTTACAACATATGCTCGAAATGGCTTCCCTGTTCAGCAATGCATGCGTGAGCTCTTCTTACCATGTTTGAGGCCACTTTGTGGAGCACCTGTAAAATGATGCTGTTAATCGCCATCATAATGTTCCTCTTGAGGTCATCCAGTGTATGTGGATTGTTTTTACAGACAATTTCTTTGAGGTATCCTCAAAGGAAAAAATCTGCGGGTGACAAATTGGGCGAACGCAGAGGCCACAATCCTTTCGAAATGAGACGGTCACTGAAAAACTCACGCAAGAACTGCATGGTTTCATTGGATGTGTGACATGTGGCACCTTTTTGCTGCAACCAACACTCACGTTCATCAGCTTCAAGAAGCGCAGTAAACTGTGTAATGATGTCTTGCTACACTGGACTGTTCACTGTTCCAAAGAAAATTGGGCCCACTATTCGACGATGTGATACCGTACACCACACTCCCATCTTATGACAGTGCAAGGGCTTTTCATGTAACACATGTGGATTTTCAGATGACCAAATCCTATTTTGTTAGGAACTGCAGAATCCTGATATTCCCAGCGAAACTTGTCTGTGACACGTGCATAAGAACGACTGGAAAAATAATGTTCCACCATGAGAACTCATTGTTCATGGGAAAATGACATCTCTGCCACACAATAAACAAAGCTATACTGCAGACGTGGTATGACCGATACACGATAGATGGCGTTTCTACTCGTTAGTACTTCCACAGTACCATCTAGCAGTCAGAGATATAACTATATTAACTGCAATACAAAATATAACAACTTTTAGTTTGATGTGTGCGACTTTTCGATCTCCCTGTATGACACCCAATATCAGGGTAAATGTGAGAATGATGATTAAAAGAAGGGAGTTGTGGTTTAATATGAACTCCAAAGTAGGGGGGCACAAAATTGTGTTAGTCATTAAAGAATATGACAACTGTGAAGTGTACCAAGCTTCACTAAAATCTTGAATAAAAATAGTCACCTTCGCTAAGAACTAGAGTTAATATACAAATACCTGTAAATACCTGGACACCAAAAACATTAAATATACCAAAATGAAATCATCGTAGTGAACAAGTAATATGAGGAAAACTGATGGGGTTCCATGTCATCAGGGTGTATAATTTTATTCTTCGTTTTTTCCTTTATTGTTCTTAAATGAGGGCACAGTATTCAAACCATTGAACGAAATGTAGGTATGCTATGACTTTATCCTGATGACAATACACATATTTGCGCAGGTAAATGTGTAAATCTGATATTTTCTTGACCTCCTAGAGCCCTAATAGCAGAGAGAATGTAATCACAGTGGTCATGCATTATAAGGCACATTCTGCTGTAACACTGGGATCATAGGTTTGAATCCCACTCAGAATGGATATTTCCTCTGTGTTTGTGTTGTCCTGCATAAGAGGCCTTGCAGTGAGCCACTCCTCTGTCAAAAAGTCTAACGAAATGACTATAAGTAAGATTCCAAGGTGGAAAATGTGGGAGGCTTTTAACCACTTTGGTTTGTCTTGCACTACAAGAAGAATAAATAGACGGAACAGTAACTAAATTGTTTATATAGGCTTATATCCTGAGAAGACGTGAGCTGCGTCGAACTGTTTCAAGGTTGTGAGAAAGGTCAAGTTTCTCTAGTGATGGTGATGATAACATTTCTGCATGGTTCCTATCTGTCAGCAAATACAGTTCCCACATGCCTTAAGAAAATTGCAAAACAGCCCAAGAATGCAGATAGAGAAGATGTAGACAGTGGGTATTGGTAAGAGAGGGAGAATGTACACCATGGGGAGAAAGGTGTTCATTCTTTCATTGAGTCAGGTATAGCTGAGTGATGACTGTCATGTACTATACAGTTAGTTATTACATGAATTCAATATTAGAATTGTTATTACCAGGCAAGTTGGCTCAAGTGTAACACTTGTATTCGGTATGTACCTGGTCCAAATCTCGACCAGGACACCCAGCTATCCTGAAAGAATTTTCATGGATTTCCTCAGTTCCTGCACGTAAATGTCAAGGTCATACCGCCAACTTAGGACACTACCACTTCCATCCACTCTTTTCAAGGTCATTATTCGCCATAATCCAGCCATTTGACACTATATGGATGTCCCAGAAATAAGGGCAGTAAATTGGAGGGTGAGTGCTGTAGTCGAAAACATTGAAATTGGTTCGTGTATGGATCTGGAAATGCTTTGGTACCGAATTAGAGCCATTTAAACGTGTTTCTGTCAACAGCAGGATAAGTAGAACTTTGGTTATGAAACTAACTTATGCTAAAGATATTTTTAGAGGAATTAGGAGTTGAGAGTGGAAGATATGAATGAAAACTTGCCTTTTATCACTGTCACCTTCCGCACTCAGCAGCAAAACTCACCGTCATTATGATTACAGTGATAGTAAGTTGGCCACATACACTAGCGTGTGATACAAGGTGTTTGTTTCCAGTGACCTGTACATACAGCCAGGTGCTGTTCATTCAGTAAAGAAGTTGCTCTGTATATCTGTGCTTAAAACACACAGTATGGCAGTGCTACATGAACAGTTGCTGTACCCATACAATTATATGGTACTGTATTATATGTACCATTATAAATTCTTAACCCATGGTCTGCTGTCCTACTGCATAAATTACTTATGTAACCAAAGTTCTACTACACTGCTGTTGCAAGGAAAACTATGATTGTTTGTATTGTTGCTGAGTGGGGAAGGTGTGAAGAATAAAAAACAAATAGTCATTCATATCGCCTACTCTATAAACTCCATTTTCCTTCAGAAGTGGCCCTAGCAGAAGTTACCTTCATAACAAAAGTTCTGGCTGTGCTGTAGCTCAGGCTGTTAGTCATTGGCTTCCAACCTTGGCGGCCTGGGTTCGAGCCCAGGTCATGTGGGAATTGTGATGGACAAAATGGTACCGGGACAGGTTTTCTCTCGAGTACTTCAGTTTCCCCAGCAAATTCTCATTCCATCAGCTGCTCCATATTCATCCAGGGCTGGTACAGTAGGCCAAAAGTGGCCGACATACCGCACCCAAAGAAACCAAAAAAAGAATGGCAGTTCTGCTATCCTACTGTTGCTGGGAACAGCCGGCTTAGAAAGGCTCTAGCTCGTTAGTGAATCATATCGAAACCGCAGTTTCTGTAAACTGTTCTTATTGTTGGGCAGTAGCTCTCACCCTCTAGTTTACTGCACACGTTTCTCGAACATGCTGTATAGTGTGAGTTATGAGAGTATGACAGGATTGTCCTTGCACTGCACGCCACTGTATATATAGGTATATGTTACGTGACGCACGTCGCTGATAGCATGCCTGATATTGACACCACAATACACTTTGCGAACCTCTCCACAAAATATCATCATCTCGAACAGGAATCAGGCACGAAGTTTGTACAGCGGCAGAGGAATCCAAGCGTGTCAATTCCATTGAACTGCACCGTGTGATCGAGGGTTTCTGTCTGTCCTAGCACAAGTGAATTCTGACATACTTGTATACTGATTTGAAGCATGGATTTCTGGGAAGAACTTATGAAGCCTTCTAGACTTCGACGTTATGTTTCATATTGTAGACTTAGAGCCGTTTCTAGGTAACGATCACAAATGAACAGGTTCCCACGCAACAATAGTGGAGTTGTTTGAAACGGGGGTTGTTACGGTGATCCGTGCCGAGGAGTTATAAGGAGGACAACGAGAGCAAGAATAGGTAACTGGAAGGGAGTCACCGTTCAGAGGGGACTTGAGCACGGAAACAAATGAATAGCCATTGTTAGAAGCCGTTACTAGCAAAGGTATAGTGAAGACATTGCAGGCTGGAAAAGACTTAGCTTGTGCTGGAATGATTGGCACAGTGTGGAAATGAGTGATGGTGCCGTAATTAAGTGTAATTACGAGTTGTGTGTTAAAGTGGTCAGTGAATCCAATATCCAGTCCAAACCCCTGCCGAGAGTCACACCTTTACCCGTGAGAATATGTTGAATTTATTAAGAATTATAGAGTTGAAAACGGTAAAGCTATCCCTGTAACAGGCCTTGAAGACCCATAAGGTTGTGAGACGTCGAGGCTCCCATATTTTCTAGAAAATCGGCTCTCAGACGGCGGTGAGGTTGTCAGCCTTACACACCGGACGCCCTTTACTCTCAGGAAGATTCGTGGTACTCATTTCTGTTAGGGGCTGAGTCGACTCC